CTCCTACAGACTCCCCTCTCATCTGTCCTCCAGATGCATTTAAGAAACCGAGAGATCCTTCATCACAGCGTAATGAGACCGATTTCTGGGTTAGAGACATGAGGATGGACATTTAGACCTCAATAAAACAAAAAATAAATCAGTCTCCTTTTAAATGAATGCTATTCATTAGTTTCCAAAATGCTCTTTCCACGGGAGACGACTTTTAAAAGGCCAACAAGGCTAAAATATTAAAACTAAGTGGAACTTATTGATGGCTGTAACAGATAAAACCCGCCTGGTGTCTGGATCTCGGTCAGAAAGCATCAGAGGTGTTTTCGAGCAATGCAGTGAGCCCCAGTGAGGCCAGCTTGCAACAGTGTCAGGTGCCCAGGGCTGCTGTACTTTGATTATTTAATACAAGGCAACAGAGGCCGATCGATCAGCAGAAATGCTTGATGCTAAAAGCTACTGGAGCGTGGGGTTCCTGCCACACCGGGCCCTCCAAATGTCACACACTGCATCTAATAAGAGTGCTCTCCACGCTGCAGTGAACTTTATATCAAGCCTGTGACTTCCTCAGCACTCAGCATTGAGGAAGAGTTGTTTGTGTAGTTGTTTTGCTCAGTGGATGTCTGCAGGCACCCACAGGCAGACTTTTCTCTTGATGGTCATGACTTCAAAGATGGAATTTCATTAAGGCTGGTGTAATTAAAGAAGACCTATTGTGTTCATTTCCAGCTCCATATTTCTATTCTTGGATTAGGGTAGCCTTTAATGCTTCACAGTCCAGTGGGACTATGTTGAGCCTCTTAGTTTATCCTCTGTGTAAAACGGGCCATTTTAGTTCCTTTTCCCATCTCTTTTAGCCAACTTTCTAAAGCCAAGATCAGAGGAAAACTGTCTGAAACAGTGTTTGGTGAGAGCAGGGTGAAGTCTGACCTCAATCGTACATATTCATTATATGTAGCTGCAACTGCAGCAGCTATCCGGAAGCAGCTGGATAGCGTAGTGGTAAGACTACACGCCTTTGGAGCAGGAGTCACAAGTTCGATTCCTGCTTGGGTGAGTCTGTATCCAGTGAGGGTTACATTTCATTCTTATGCAATCTTCCACAACGCACATGCTACAGCAAGGGGGAGCCAGGACGCCAGGTCAGGAGGAGCTTGTGCTTCCTCCCAAGCTAGGAGAGAGACCAGCTGTGTATTTTTTATAATACTTACTTTATATGTGTATAAGTAAGTATAAGTATTCATTTGTATCTTTATTCATCATGAATACTAGTAAGATACTAGATGTGATATATATATATTGGTGTTCATGTCAATATCAGCTGGATAGTGTAGTGGTAAGACTCTACGCCTTTGGAGTGGGAGTCACAAGTTCAAGTCCTACTTGAGCCTCTGCATCCAGTGCTTATCTCTCATGGTGATGAGGTACAACACACGTGCTACGGCAAGGAGGAGTCAGGACGCCAAGACAGGGGGGATATCGTCCTCCCTCAGGTCGGCAACGTCAGGAAGAAGCAACATGAGAGTTTTAGCTTAAGAATGTGAGGTTTGTTGGATTGTTGAGAGAGAGATCAAGAATACTGAGAGCGCAATGAGAGTTCAAGAGTACTGAACTGGTGGCATCCTTCTAAAGGCTAGGTGGTGTTAGGAGACTATTACTCATAAAGCTAAGCAGGCAGGCTAAGATAAATCAAATTACCTGGGTAGGTGAAACCACTTGGAAAATGGATAGTAATAAATGGTAAAAAAAATTAAGTATTATGTTTATCTATCATACTTGTTTATTTATTTAGTTTAACTTAAAAAAAACAAAAACACACAAGAATAAATGCTTGTTCAAAAAAGTAATCCAAAAGTAGTTGCCTGTAGTACTAGGATTCGACTTTATTTATATTTCTTTATTCATTTGGGGTTTGTTTTTACCTACACAGGTAATTTGATTATCTTAGCCTGCTGTTGCTTTTGAGTAATGTTCCCCTAACACCACCTAGCACTTAGAAGGATGCCACCAGTCTCAGTACTCTTGAACTCTCATTGCGCTCTCAGTATTCTTGATCTCTCTCTCAACAATCCAACAAACCTCACATTCTAAGCTAAAACTCTCATGTTGCTTCTTCCTGACGTTGCTCGACCTGAGGGAGGACCATATCCCCCCTGTCCTGGCGTCCTGACTCCTCCTTGCCGTAGCACGTGTGTTGTACCTCATCACCATGAGAGATAAGCACTGGATGCAGAGGCTCAAGCAGGACTTGAACTTGTGACTCCCACTCCAAAGGCGTAGAGTCTTACCACTACACTATCCAGCTGATA